TGGTCAGAGTCACTGCCATGTTCATCACAAGCAACTATGAAGAAATGTACCCTCTAGTAATCGGGGACGACATGACTAACAACACTTTAAGCACCAGGTGAATGGAAACAAAGATCATGAGAGTTTTAAACTTTGGTCTGGGTCGCCCGCTCCCCCTGCACTTTCTTCATAGAGCATCTTAGATTGGAGCGGTTGATGATGAGCCGCATGTGTTGGCCATTTACCTGATGGAGCTGTCTATGTTGGACTATAATATGGTACGCCGTCCTCAAATTGCAGCAGGAACTTTTTGCTTCGCACAGAAAATTCTTGATAATTGTGAAGGGACACCAAATCTGCAGCATTCACCTGCTGTACTGAAGAGTCTCTTTTTCCTAAAATGCAGCACCTGGCTAAGGAGGTAGTAGTGGTCAGTTGTGGGCTTACAAAGCCTGTGACTGTCAAGAACAAATACACCTCCTCAAAGCATGCTAACATCAGCACTCTAGTGCAGCTAATTTGTGCATTAGTTTGGTCAAGGCTGTAGATTTGGCCTTGGAGCAAAGGTGTAACTTGTAAACTTGAATAGTCTATCTGCAAATATAATTGGCACCATGTGCCACTCATACATACCACACTACATTAACAGACTTTAATAAAGATTTTGGGCCTTTTTATTTTATTTTTTTTTAATATTTATTTATTTATTTGTTTATTTAGTGTGTGTGTGGCCAGCTCAGCCCACCAGGGGGCGGGCCTGGCTGGCATGTGGTGCTGGGGATTGAACCAGGGTCCCTGTGTTTTGCTTAGCTTAGCTTGTTCTAAGTAGGTGCTTTAGTCCACTGAGCCATCTCACCAGCCCCTATTTTTTATATTTTTATTTAAAATAAATAAAAATAAATGCTACAAAAATGAGTAAGTAGAAAAGCAGATGGCCTCCGTTCTGCACCTCCATTCCATTCATTAATGACAGTTACTATTGCACATTTATTAACTGTTCTTAAATAATTTTATGTGCATGTGTAGATACAGGTATATCAGTAAACATTCACTTTTTTGCGTATTAAAATTATGGGACATAAAGATGCTGAACACTGTTAAGTCATCACATTTTATCCCTATTACTTTAAATCATTTTGTGATAGTCACTATCTAGAAGGACTTTCTGCTAACTGTAAGCAAGTTGGCAATATAATGAATTTTTAGGATGTAGTTATTTTTGTAAATGTCTTTTTACATTTTGACATAGAGTCTTGCTTGCAGTTCAGGCTGGCCTTGAGCTCACTTTGTAGCACAGGCTGGTCTCAAACTCACACTGATCCTCCTGCCTCAGCCTCCCAAGTGCTGGGATTATAGACATGTACCACCACACCCAGATTTTAAATGTCATTTTGAAATCTGAATTTATGTCGTGTTTTAGGAATTGCTTTTGTCCAAAATGGAGACTCCTGTTTTACAACCATATTTGCCTACATCCCTGCCTCCACCACAAGAACTGTATGCTGTTCAAGTGAAGCACATTGTCTCTCCTAATGAAGTACGTATTCCATGCAGGTGAATAGTGAGTGGTTCAAAACCATATCAGCATCTGGGTCTTAAATACTAGGATTGACTCTTCATTTCTCTATCATCTTGGATTATAAATAATGGAAAATCAGTGGCTTCTGTAGTTGATATAATTCTTTTTTTTCTTGAGACACAGGGTCTTGCTAAGTTGCCCGTGTTGGCCTCAACTTGTAAGCCTTCTGCCTCAGCCTCCCAAGTACCTGGATTGCAGGTGCCTATGCCACTGTGCCTGATTTCCAACATTTGTTATATTTCATGAGGCAAATGTTTCTTTTTTTTGTGATTTTTATTAGTACATGTTTGCACTACATGTAATTTACAGTCATCTTGGGGAGTAACTGTACACATAATAACAGCTTGTTTCTCCTTTTAGTCCCCTTCTCTCTCTATACCTTCCTCTTTAATTCTTCTCTCCCCGTTTTCCTTCTTGTTGACATTATTAATCTTAGCTCATATTTATGACATATACTGGTACATTCCTTGAAGTTACTAGGTTCCTGCATGTGGCCTGTCTCCATTCCCCTCTTGGTTCCTCACCCTGGTCTCCTGCACCCTTTCCCCTCATCTCCTACCCATCCTTTGTGATTCTTTCTGTGTTCTTGGGCTCACTCAAATGAGTGCTGCCATGTAGTCTTTAAGCTGCTGAGTTATTTTATTTGGACACATGTTTCTTAAGCACCTGTGAGCTTCCTGTTGTCATATGCTTTTATTCACTGTTATGTTTACATTCATTTCTTAGACTTTTATAGTGGAAATGTTTGCTTATATAAAATATTTCATTTTTTATCTTGTGTTAAATGTTTTGGTGTCTCAGTTACTTTTTTTCATTGCTAGAACAAAATACCCAACACCCAGAATTAAGAAAGGAAAGGTTTATTTAGTGGTCACAGTTGGTGGAGATTTCAGACCATACTCAGCTGGCTCCAAGGCAGAGTGGCACATGACAGAGAGCAGCAGCTCATAATGGTGGAAAGCGGCAAAGAGCAAAGGAAGGAGCAGGGGTTGCAGCAGCTAACAAGCCTCTCCCTCCCTTACATTGTATTCAGGCTATCTGTCCCACAGCAGGTGTAGCACTCACACCCATAATCCCCACGTTGGATCATGAATTAACCACAAACTGTAGAAGCTGCCTTAGTGACTGCGACTTTGGGGAAACAACGAGACACAAACCGTAATACTTACCTTTATGAAACCCTAACCATCACTGAACTCCTAATGCTCTCTATCCTGCTCTGTTCTTGTTTTCCCACCTTCCTGTCCCCTCAGTGTGATTGGCTATCTCCTCCCCAGAAGTTAACTTGACAAAGATGGGGTTGTGTCTGTGCTGTTCCTTGATGTACCCCTGGACTGAAAATAGTGCACGATATGTAGTAGTCATTTTCTATGAATATTGTCAGAATGAACAAATGCACTAAAGAAAATTATATTCCTTGGCCAAAAAAAAAAAAAAAACAGGAAGTAAGAAGTATCATCTGCAGGTCCTTTGCCTTTTCTGTAGTAAACCAGTGTCAGAAAAGCCATTGACAGGCTGGGGAGATGACTCAGTGGGATAAGCGCTTCCCTGGCAAGTGCAAGGGCCTGAGTTCAATCCCCAGTTCTGCAAAAAAAAAAAAAAAAAAAAAAAAAAAAAAAAAAAAACAGCAAAAACAAACAAACAAACAAAAAAACCCTACTAAAATATCTGTCCTTTTCCTA